TCGCACATTCGTGGTAAATGTGGGCAAAACGAGATCCTCAAAGCGGAGGATTGCGGCCGAATTCCCTCAGGGCTCCGTCCTCTCTCCGCTACTGTTCTCGTTGTATGTCAACGACATCCCACATATACCACGAATACGGCTCTTCCTTTATGCAGATGACATAGCCGTCTTAGCGAGAGGAATAAACCTAGACCACAAACTCAAAATACTTCAAAAACAGATGAACCTGACAAACAAAACCACTCGATTTTCTCAGCGGAAAAGTCACTGGCCATCTGTTACACCCGCCGCAAACACAAATACACCAAACGTTTTACACCAACTAAACAAATTACACTTGGTACAAAAAAAAATGACATGGGCACCTAAGGCAACCTACTTAGGCGTCACTTTTGACCGAAGGCTGCGCTGGCATTTACATGTCAGGCGAATTCGATCAAAATTACAATAAGGAGTTCGACTATTACATCTTTTGAGAGAACCTACACTCCCCTTGGAACTTCGCCTGGCACTCTATAAAACGTGTTGCAGGCCTGTAGCCACATACGCTGCGGCAACGTGGTGGACTACAGCACAGAAGTACAAGGATACACTTGAGCTGATACTACGACTCATAGCTCGCCCTCCGTTTCGGAAACGGTTGAAAGTACTGAGGAAGGAACTTGATATCGAGTCCTTCTCTCAATGCTTGAGGCGGCTTTCGTTTAACGAAGCTTATCAAGCCTCTCAAACCGACGAAGCTCCCGCAACGCTAAAACAGTTAGCTCGACACGTCCTTACAATAGGCCAAAGAAGACTAGCACTCCTCTGATATTCTAAGGGCGTAGTGCAACACAAAAGCCGATTTGGCTATTGGCTAAGATCCGACACGAATCCACACCAGCCACTTACACATAGCAGTAAAACGCAAACTTGCGTGCGTACTGCAACACATAGTACTCAAACCTTTGGCTAAGGAAGTCGTGTGGGTTGTGCGCAGCGCTGCATTTCAATGCATAGGCTACTGAGGCAGGGAACTGAAGCCGGCGTGCTACGTCGAGACGGGAGGTGCGGCATACTCGCTTGTATGCTCACGTAGGCAACTGGTGCATCATACCGAATAAGATATCAAATTATCAGGCCAGCGGTGGTGGTGACCAGGAACATTCCTTCTGGTAATGGGTCAATATTGATTATTGTAATTATTATAAATAGTGGGTGGGTCAGTGTTGTAGGAAGTCAGGTGTTGGAGCATATTTCAAATAAATACTCAGTAAATTACAAACCGTTCACGTCTGTGATTTATTGCCCCGGTAAAGACGCCACAACACCCAAGATAGTGCAAGTTGAAAATGCTGTTTTGTCAAATATGCAGAAGTTAAGAATTGAGCTCTCCCATAAAGAAAATTATGGGTACAGCACTTACATTTGTAAATGTTTGAGGGAGAATAAAGGTTAAAACTGACAAAAATATTTGAGAAAAAGGGAATATATTTTTATTTATAAAATTCAACATTTGAGATAATACAACTTATCATAAAAACATCTAAAATACAGTACATCATTTAAGTTCTGCAACTGAAAGTAATGATTTGAACATACATTAAAAATTTAACACATCTTGTTTTAAGTAACATTAGTATCAGCATATTGTTAAGAGAAATATCACAATGTGGGAGAGAGAATCAAAGAATGCTGGAAAGAATGCTTGTCTGGAAAGATTTGCATAATCTTTGGTGGCGGTTAATTAGAATTTATGAAACATTGTAATATTATACATTAAAAATTACATCACCTTTGTGTGTAAATATTAAAAACCTTCCTTCTTTCGTTTATCTACAACACATTCTGAAAAGAATAGCATCTAGTTATATCATAATATATACTTATCACTGTATAAATGAGATCATATTTTTAATTCTTATCAAAATAAAAGTTTAAAATTTACTGAACAATTCATTGTACTATATTTTATCTATAACAACATCAGAGCACAGATAAAAAGTTTAAAAAAATACTGCAATAAAAATCTAGAAGAAACATTTTGCTTCAAATTTGATTTTTTTATAATTACAAAATCTGCGATGCAGCTGACAATCAGATTTATCTGAGATCTCGAGTGGTAAAAATCACATGAAGCTGAAATACATTAAAACAATTTCAAAATACACTTGCTGATTCTATGCTTCTCACCTTTTGGTTAACATTATAATTTATTATACAAAATATTTGGAATAAAATAATTTAAAATATGCATGTCTAAAATTGGATGTGTGTATTTGCATACATTTAATAGTATACACAGGTGATGAAATTGAGTATAATACATGAGATCAGGTGACAGGCCACCATGTGACCTCCCTGAGAGCATACAAAGTACCCTTAATGATCCACTTTATAATTTAGTCCAAAATATCGAAGATAATTCTATTCTGTTTGATCTAAAATCTATTTATATCAGTTCAATTTAAATTCTTAACAAAATGTTATTTCCCAGAGCATTAAAGAACACAGGGATGATTAAATGTTTGTTCAGATATAATGAAACATGTATGTGTGATCTTCAGGTGACCTTTAATTGTTAGCAAGGTTTTGTAACACAATTTAAGACCTACAAATGATAAATTTGACTGATGAACTAATTTTATTAATAACCAAAATTAGACAATGTTATTCTTTCAAACCGTGCCGAGTAATTTTAACCTAGTGACATTTGTAATTAGACAATATCTTAATAGCACACATACATCTACAGAGATCAGACTATATGATAAAGTGGAACATCCTGATTGGTGAGTATGACCGAGTGTGTGTGTGTGTGTGTGTGTGTGTGTGTGTGTGTGTGCGCGCGCGCGAGTGCATTTGCACACACACACACACATACCCACAGGTTTTCTTGTATTATGATCCATCTTCCAACACAGTTCTGAGAAAACATGTCATATAATAACACATTGAGATCACTGTTATGGAAGATAGTTCTCTATAAACTATCACAGTCAACAATGATCAGATAGTTTCAGGATAGTAAATTTCTGTCATAAAGAAGCACAATATTTTATCAAATCTACTAATCTCTACTCAAAGATATCTACATACACCTAAAATGAAAATAAACAATCATAAAAATAAATGTAATGGAGTAATGATTATATTGAATATACACAAAACTGTAGGATCTGGGACAACACAAAATACCTAACGAATTTCTTTCCATATTCAAATGAAAAGTATATTTTATACAAGTTTTCCTTCATGCATACAAGGCACATGGCTGTCCAGTAATTAAACTGTACATCAAATACTATAAAATATAATTTCTTTCTGTTTTGTGTTTCCCAGATAATGCTGCTTTCTCTTGTAAATGTCCAAGGTCTTTGTAATATAAAAATGAGATCACCAAAACCTCTATTCTTCAAGAGGTATCAAAAAAGAAAGACAAGTGACAATATAACATCACTGGGATTATGACTTTCTTACTGTAACTTCAATGTACAGCAAGTTATCCTCATTACAGGCAGATTTGTACAAAGTTTATATTGTTGAACACAATGATTGCTAGCCCAATAAACTACTCACAAGATCAGATCACAAAGTATGTAGATATAGAGTAAGTAAATATATGAGTAATAACAAAAGAAATTAGAGCCTAAAATGACCAAATATTAATCTCTATATGCTTTATCATGGCAGTAAATTAGAAGAAAATTATCATAGGATTTTAAAACTTTCTGCAACTTTGAGAGGCAAGTGAATTTAAATTTTCTAAAGCAATCAGTAAAAAGAAATGCAAATATGATGAAAATAAAACTCCAAATTGTAATGTGTCATACAAATAATACCATTGTCCCAAAATATTAATACATTGCATAGTACTGTATTGAGAGAGACTGTACTTTTGATCCAATCTTGTAAGGCCTGTTTACTACAGTTCATGAGCATTACCAGTGATTTGTTTAAGTTTCAAATAACATAAATCCAAATTATTTCTGAAATGATATAAAATGCAGAACATTTTTGAATACTTTCCTTAGTGCTTGAAACTAATTCAACAAATATTTTCTTTACAAATTGAAAAAAGAAACAAAACAATTTATTTCATCAAAAGCAAAAAATATGTTAAATGTAGCCAATATAGAAGGTATCCAAAACAAAATGCAAGTCTCATACACATACATTGTCTGATTTATATTTCTGTCAACTTTATAGCTAGTGGATGACTGCGGAGAGGGGGTTCCGTTATCCAATCAGACTTCAAATTCTGCTGATGACACTGCAGAATTGCCGATACTTATTAAGAAAAAATGAAATCTTACAGTACAAAGCAACTGTAAAATAAAGAGTGCCATTACTCCTTTGGTTATGCATCGTGTGTGCAGTTCTGTGTCATCTACTGTAGTATATTCTTATTACAAATTGTTTCTTGCTACTGTTGTGATGTGATGCAAGATGACCACACGACCACGCATCTACAACCCAAGCAACTGGCAACATTGCTCTACCCCCCACCCCAGCTGTCAAGAAGAGACAGAAATATTATTCGGACTCTATGCTGAACAAAAAGTGTGAACACATTGAAAACTTCAGACTTGTACATCCACTACATACAATGACTTACACATCCTAAGTATAACCAAGAACTGCAGTTTCCAATGTTTAAAAAATTGAAAGCGAGAATTTAATACACATGAATTGGTAGTCCTCATACTAATACCTCTTTTTATTTTAATGGTAATGAAGAGGGCTTAGACAGAAAGGATAAAAAGAAATCAACTACCCAGTGCTATTAGATATATTTTGTGTAAAAAGATTATATTTTTCAAACAGCATTACTTCATTATAATGGCCCAGCTACTTCATGAAGACATTAAATCTTATGTGCATTCAAAATTTCAAAATTGTTTATTCACTACTAAAATTGTGAATGAGATACAAACCATTACAATACCGATAAAATCAAGTGCTCATTCATAATCAAATGATCCTCTTCTTTTTTATGGTAATCTTCATTAACATTGTTGAAATCTTATTTACTTCAACAGTATCATGAACAAATTTCATTTCATTTCATTAATGTTAAAACAATAAAAAAGGGATAGATTTTGAAAATTAAAATAAATTTTCACTTTTCACATTAAGATTTGTTTGATTCAGTATCATACAATCACAAATGTTTGGTCATAAAGATCATACCTGACAAGCAATTACTTTTAGGGCCTTGGGAAAGATATCCAAGACATTCATATACAGAGAACCAGTCATCACTACAAGATATAGTGAAACCTGTCTTAAGCGGTCACTGGGTTCCAGAGAAAAATGACCATTAACATAGGTGGCCACTCAATTGAGGTAATGAGATTATGGGATATCAATATTCCATCTAATTTTGTTTGCAATGAAGTGAAGCATGCTTTGTTCTTAATAAATTTTAAAATTGCACTTAAAGCATTTAAGAGTACTTAAACAACTCTTTTACAAAATATTTCAATTTCCAATATTTGTACTATTGCCTTTTCTGCACCATTGTTTCATTTTTATTCATAGACTTGATTCCCAACTAAATTTGAAGCAGCAATTTTCACCTTGAATTTTCATCTTCAGTGAGCATAAATGAAAATCGTTTATTGTGATGTAAAAAACAAATAATGCCTCCGAGTGAGAAGCCACTACATGTCATTGTTCTGAGTGATCTGATGATAGGTTACGATATGTCACAACAAAGGAATATACTTAGTCAATACTAATCTAACAGTAATCTCCAGCAGCCTTGTTTCTACTATAGCGTTACAGATCAAAATTTCAAATTGGTTGGGAAAAAATGTCTAATACAGATTAATCTACAGAATGTGTGTGGTCGCTGACTGGGGAGGGGCATGTGACCACTTAAAAGATGGAACATTTTCACATTAGTAATGGGAAAATCAATTGGTTCCACAAAAAAGTCTTGTTAATAGAAGTGAGCACTTACAGTTTGAGCAGGTTTCCCTGCTGTGTAACTCTGTCAGGCAATACAGAAATATACTGATATTAGTATGTACTTAGCATAAGGCAAAAAGGACATTTCTAGAAGAGAGCAGACTCAAGATTGTAACATGAAAAACACCCATAAGATAAAATTATGATAACATTGATAAATAATAAAACAAGTATGGTCATCAAACTTAAATAGCTGGTCCATAAAATGAAGCAATACTATTTTATTACTTTTTCTTTATGTGAAAGTAATTTTGATTCTTTGGATTTAATACACTGTCTATTCATACACTTGGTAATTGATTTCTTCAAAAACAGTTAGTAAAAATTGCCCAATTATTTCACCTAGAATTAGCACATTTTTTTAAAGCAACTTCATGACGAAAATTTGAGTAACTTTTAAAATAAAAATGCAATTCATAGTCTAAATTATTACTTCTGCACCATCTTGGAAATTACAGGGCAAAAGACAATATTATTTCACTTAAAGAGAAATCCAATGCCAAGAAGGCTATCAGCACCGAAAATAACAAAATTCTGTTCCTACTTGCTATTTAACGTTCATAGCGTCTTTCAAATAAGAGGATGAAGAATTGTTCCCAGAATTGCTTCTTATGAAAGACGTACTGTACTTGAAAGCACTCAGGCCACCAATGATTGAAATCAATAGGTAATTTTTATTAACAAATTACCAGATAAATTGGCTAAGCCACAGATGTATAATTAACTGCTCATTTAATGAGCTATTTTTCATTTCATATACTAGATAACAAATCTTCTTCAATAGCACACCTATCTTTTATACACATCAATATCACGCAAAAGACAACTACCTGTAAGTCCCTTTCATGAAATACCATAAAAATTGTTGAATTAGAAACCTGATATATATATATATATATATATATATATATATATATATATATATATATATTTTTTTACAAGTTGATGAATGCACATTTTAGTTTTAAATGATTTTTTGGGGGGTTTGTTTCACATACTAAAGAAAATTTGATTCTATGTAACTAACACTGTAACTAAACAGTCCTGATGAGTGTCTCGGAATGTCATAAAAGCGTTTTTTATTGGTTTGAACAGTGATCATACATAATTCTTTTGTTATTCTTTTTCATCTGTCCAAAATTCATTTACGGTACTACCACTGTCAGAAGTGATTACAATAAAATTACTATAATTATTATATGCCAGTATTCTCTAGTTTATGAACACTGTAATCAAACTTTACGCCCAATATGCTTGCAATAATATTAGCCTTGGTAATAAAATAGTACAGTAAAACCTATCTTAGGCGGCCATCAATGGTTCTGGCAAAAATTGGCCATAATAAAGGTGGCAGCTTAATCTAGGATAAAAGGTTCATTGAAAGCGTAAATCAAATAGAAATGTGCTAAATGCTATGAAACGTCTCTAACATTTTTAATTACCATAAATAACAAAATATAATTTAAATAAGGTATTCAGAACCATTTGCCGCCTCTTGGCTAGGGGATCCAAAAAGTATTTCAGGGAGAGGGGACTTTCAGTACAAATGCCTCACAAATAATAAAATAATAATAATTTTTAAAAAAATTGTAATTGTTAGCTTGATATAAAAAATGTAAATATACTCATAATGAGATTAGTGCTTCAGAATGGCGGAGACATCAACCTTATTATTATTATTATTATTATTATTATTATTATTATTATTATTATTATTATTATTATTATTATTTTGAATGAACTGGTAAAATTTTTTAAAAAATGTTCGATTGGAGGATCAGCCACTGAAACCCCTTTCTGTCGTCACTGAATCAAATAAGCAAACTTGACCACAAGATACAATTCACATCCCGCGAAAACTTTATAGCAGGGTCGTCTGACGAAGGAGTTAGCAAACGACCTTCAGATCAGATTCGCTCATGAGGCAAGCTCCACGAGTCCTTAACTATCCCAAAGAAGAGAAGCATGAGTTAGCAAACCATAAGAATGCTACGAAATGGACAAAAGAGACATGTTTTTCTTTCTTTTAGGGATATTTATTAAAATCATCTTTTATTATCTGGCACAGAAATTAATCCTTCTGTGAGATACGCTTCTCTGGATATCACTGTTTAATGTAATCTGACAATGATTCCATTATAGGAAGATACTACAACAGTAATCTTCATGATTATTTTGCTTCTCATTACATAACAGTTCAAAATCACTTGATTGTGATCACTTAATAAAAGTCAATCTATGAAATGTGCCTGGCCTTTAGCTACTTAGCAAAATGATCAACAAAAAGAGGGAACATTTACTCATGACATATGGAAAAATCAATTGGTTACATGAAAAACGGCCAATAATGGAGGTGACCGCATAATTGAGGACACTATTTGAGCAAGTCTCACAAGTCTCCAAGAAAAATTTCAAAGGTAATTGAAATTGCATTCATGTGAATGATACAAGAAAATTCAAAAGATGAATTCAAAATTTCCCACATATGACATTACAATGAATTCAATAGTATCTTTAAGATAAAGTCCCTAATGTACATGATATAAACAAAGAGTGTAGTTAATACAATTATTTTTCTCAGGAACTCCACAGAATATTCTCATGACACAAATATAATGTCAATGAAGAACAAAATAAAGGGCAAACAGGAAATGTAGAAATAAGGAGGAAAATATGTCATGTTGTCTAAGCTTAAAATAAAAAAATTTGAAAAAATAACTAACAGAAGAGCACCTAACAACATCCTAATAGTTTTTTAACATTGCCATATAAAATTCCTCTGCAAGAACAGGGCAGTAAACATTCATCAGAAGTTCTTATACAACTTTAAAAAAGTTAAAATAAAAATAAAAGAAACACTAGCACAATGAAAAACTCTGTCAATAACTTCGGTGCACTGAATCTAAAAAAGAATATTGTTTCCGTTTGGTGTTAAGTTATTTGGTAATATTGCAAAATGTTGTTTTTGTAATAGTGATGTACACTTATCATTAGAAGAATAGTCACAGAATACTGTACATTTTGTAAATACTGGTACCTACTTATATTTCTTAATGCTTAACACAAAAATATCTTTTCTCAAGAATGCAGTTCATAAACCAATTTAGAAAAGATGCCTGCTTGTTCCGCAATCTTTTTTTTTCTCTTCCTGTTGAATCTGAGAATACACAATGTCAAGTACTCTGGAAATAGTATTACATGTAGTAGATCAATTGTATTTGGCCATAATATGTGCACTCTATTAAATACTCCAACACCACTGCATATCATTCATATCTTTGAGTAATGCTTCGACTTGTTCTTCAATGAATTCTTCTAAATTCTTAGGAAAGTCACAGAAACATGCCAGTAAAAATTAGCACTTCAGACTCATTTTGGAACCAGGCAGTTGAAATTGTTCAACTTGATTCTTAGTGGCCGATATGGTATCAACCAGATGCTTAAATTCTTGAGAAGGGCAAATTTGAACGCCCAATTAGTATCTCTAGCTGTTTTTGTTTGTTTTTTTAAGTTGTAGTCATATAAAGTTTTTCTTCTTCATGACATGTCTCAGGACAGAAGAGTATCAGAAAACTGGTTGTTGACTTTCCTGAACAGTTATCAATTTAAGAGCTAAGTTTTAGGTATTAAGAAACTTATGACAGATTTTTTATATTTCATGTCACTATCATATGTGAAAATATTTTCAATATGAACCTGAACTACATACAGAGCTGGATTTATGTACAAGGAGGCTCCTAACAGCACAATATAAGGGGACCCTTATCAATATGCAATTTTTTTAAAGTTTAAAATGTAAAAACCTGGAATTTGAAGTTCAGTTCTTTAAGGTTATTTTCTTCAATGAAAAGCAAGCTTAACATGGTTATGGTTCATTTTTCTCGGCACACTGCGGAACATAAATCATTTTTAATGTAACTGAAATGACCTTCCCCCAGAACAATTTGCAATTGGCAAAGATAATTGGCAAAGATAAAAACAGTCTGGGAAAGCTGAAAACAGCCTATCATTAATCACATGGCCATCGCTGCCATGCAAAAGAAATCAACTTTTGTGTATGATAGAAGTTCTCAAAAATGCTTTACCACTGTCATTGTTTCTATTTGTAACTGTCGTTTTAAATGAAAAATTATACTATAATTACAATAATAAACATACAGTAAATTGGCAATGACCTTATTAATACTAAATTTAAACATAGAAAAGTTTGTTTCACAAAAGTGATTGTTTTGTGAAAACCAATAATTTATGTTTTCTGAAAATTAGGCTACATCAGGGGCTCCTACCACAATGGTCCTAAGCAGCTATTTGGGTTACTTCTAGGGAAACCCAGTACCAACTTCACATTTGGATATTGGTATTAAACAACTAATCATATTTAACACTAGCTTATAAATTGTTATAAAACATTTGTTTCAATAAAATTTGAATATATTTGTAGTAAAATATCACTGACAGTTTTTCATGCAACTAAATAATTTAGCGTGGTGCAATGTTTTGTAACCTGAGGAACAATTTAAATGCATCTGGGCAGGCTGGGACAACTACTTCTGCCAGAGTCTTGTTCATAAACGACGTTAAGCATAACTAACTGAATTTTAACAGCATTAACTATAAGTTTAATACAGAAACAAATAATTCAATATAACATACTCAATATAACGTATTCAAAAATAACATAGAATAAATTATAAATGTATTGTCCCATTTTACCCTCACCTATGAGTACAAAAAATAAATGTGAAGATTGTCACTACTTTTCTGATGCACGATTCTGAACTTCTGTCAGATATATTTGCAGGTTCAATTCCATTAACTAAATAAAGTCTTAATTTATTTTGGATTTATTTTGTCTTCCGGGACTGAATATTTTTCACCCCATTTCTTTTACACCTTATCATTTCATATGATGCAAATCTTTTGCCATATTGTAAAACAAAGCTCGTGGATGGGTAGTGCCTGTCCTTCCACACAAATAGGTTAAAGCACTTTCCATGTGATTTCTTGGTTTTAATTTAAAAGTTTTAGGAATCAGAAAAGCAATTTCACTACATACGTGCTGCCTGGTAATGATAAATTTGTAGAGAGATTTACAACCTTAAAAACAAACAAGAACCTGTTTTGAAAAAGGTTTCCGAAAATTCTTCAAAATCTATGCATTCAAGTCATTTATACATTATTTATTAAATAAGCAAGAGGGGCAAAAACTGTGTTTGAGAGCCTCATGTGGCCTGGGGCCTTAGGGATGAACCACACTGATTTTGATGAACTTTCTAGTGACTCTAGAAGTGGATGTTTGGGATGAAACATATGACATAAAATAGAAACTATTATTAATTTAACATTAACTCCTACAGCAGAACTCATTTATTTTTGAAATTATTCTACCTTTTAACTTTTCTTTTCTATGTCTGTACACATGCATATATGTATGTTCATATTTGGTTTTTGAAGCATTCAATGTGTAAAGCAACACATTTATTTCGGGTTTCAGGTACAAGTATTACTGCTTTGTGGCATGGTCCAAAGTCAACTTTGAGCTGAATCTTGGTGATGAATCTTTCCTACTAACACAAGCCATTCTTTCATCATACCGTATGAGATGGGTATCATAACATTTTGAACCAAAATCACTGTCAAAGTACCTCATTGATTCTTTTGAAACAATAAAAAAAGCTTCTTGATTTCTATAGTTTTTTCGTATAGTTCCATTCACATTCCTTCCATTTCCTTTTGAAATCAATATGATTCTGTTTCATTTCATCAATCATTTTCTTCCTGCTATTTTTCTTGTTTGTGATCGTTATGTTATTATTGTTCATATATTTCCATTTTATAGACCACCTCATCATTGCAATGAATAACCATTTTAAGATGTACAGTTAAAGCTTCTTAATTCAAGGCATCCAGCTAAACAATGTTATAAAATATTAATGTTCATTTCGATTCCATTCAATTCTTATCGTTTAATTCTGATGGTTCAATGACAAAAGAAACACATTTCCTTTCAACAAGTTTTCCACTAAATTTTCATACATTTCCTTCACAATTAATATTTACACAATAATTAGGATTTTTGCAATAAGAAACAAAAGAACTCACAACTAAGCAAATAAAAATTTTGTAAGAAATTTTCAACACAATAAGAATTAAATAATTTTACGTATTTACATGCATGCATGTAATCTTAACGGGATATTATTGAATTTTCAGAAATATATCAGTCATGCACTGCGGGTTGCATGTGTACTTTGGCAGATTGTCCCAATGCTACTTGCCATCCAAATTTCACAAAAATTTTACTCAATTCCAAACACAAATGAAACATATTTTAACAATATTTTCAAAATCAGAAAATGGTTTCCACATTATGCCAAAAATATAATTTTAGTTCAATGTACATGAGAACTTTTTAAGGCTATGCTTTAATGTCTTTTCATATTGACAGAAAATACTGCAGAATGCAAGGATAACGTAAACAAGAATTTGGAATAGAACTCTGGAACATTGAAGTTTGGAACACAATGCTCCAGTGTGGAGCAATATTTTTGATGTACATTAAAGAAAATTTGTACATTATCTCTAAGAATTCATTGAATCTTTGTGGGCAATTGGCAAGATACAATAGCATGTCATTCAAATGCCTCCAAATTAAATCTTTGAACACAGATTAACGGCTAATTCCCACGATTGCAATGCTTTGGTTCTGGAAGTGTTTTAATATATTATTCTAAATGAAATTCCTTTGAATTTTTAGAATGCCCCTGCCAGAATATTGAATCAATCCAAGAAACATTTAACATGGAAAAGGTAGAAAAACAGAGGTCTGTACTTCATGCAAAGAGTATCTGTGCATCATTTGAAATAGTTCCATAAGTAGAGAAATGGAAAACAAATAAGAATTTCAGATTCAGTGCAAATCTGAATTATGATCCAGAATGCAATGTACTTCTCATATGTCCTTTAGATCCTCATGAACATGTTGCTACAAATTGAAGCTATTATTTATAGTTATTTCTACATGCCTATAGCCAAATTAACCAACTTCATTTGTAGAGTAAAAAAAAAAAGCAAAGAATGTAGGTCCATTCATAATTTTCAATAGAAAGTACTGAATTTTTGTTTCATATTACCTACAATGTTAACGTACACAATCTAGGCATAAGATAATCATTGACCAATTGCTAAGTATAAAAGTTTTTAACATTCCCAATTTTTAAGAAAGTAAAATAACATCACATACGTTATCACATAAAATGTCAGTCTTGCCACAAACAATTACACAAAACTGTGCACATACCGTTACCTTTTTCAATAATAAATCTTTTTTTTTTTTTTTTTTTTTTTTTTTTTTTTTTTTTTTTTTTTTTTTTTTTTTATGCAGAAGAATGTTTTCTAAGTAACAAGAAGTGTGAATGATCTTGACATTAAAAAAAATTTTTCCTCACATGAAAAGGCAGAACTCAGGCCAGTTATTCTTGCTCAATATTGAATTTTAAATCCAAGCAAGGTAGCAAAATCTGCCAAATTTTGTAGACTGAATGGTCACTGAATGTTTCTTTACGTTTACTTTAATTCTACATAACAGTACTGGCAGTTTTACACTGCCTCCAAAAGTAATTAGGGTTTTCTATACAAATTCACCTTCAATTGGCAACTTCAGTTCACTATATTGGCAGGACAATTATCATTCAGAGCAACAAAAACTTTGAAGATGCTGCAATAGTACATCCTGGCTTTTGAATAAGTAGAAATTGACTTTCACACAAATAATGACATAAAACACCCATTGTTAACAGAAATACAAACAGAGATATAGAGTAAGATTTTTTAGCTTTTAATTTGCCATGTGATGAAATAAATGGCGGTATATCTCCTAGACTTAAAGCTTGTTTTTGTTTTGATTTCTGTCGTCAATATTGTGTGAAAAACTAAAAATGGCCAAAAATGACCTTTCTGATCACGCACCAAAGAATTATTATTCACTTTTAAACTCATCAGCTCTTTATTAGTACCATCCCTAGCTCACACTTTTGGGTCACCATCATTTTCTTTTAATAATTTTTATGGTTCTGCTTTTACTACTTTCCTGTAACTAATTGTATCTGTATTTAGACTTTTCATAACCATTCAAAATAACACATTGAGTTATCACTGTTTCTCAGATTTCTTTTTATCATGGCATATTTATCAATACACAGATCATATTTTCAGTCTTTAATATTCATTATAACCAAATAACCCAAATTGTGAAACTATGAATTCAAAAACTTTCTTAAAATATTCTTCTTTCATCCTTATTCTTTATATTCTCCATATTATCTTTGAATTTCCATATTCATAATTGTTGCTAATGGACAATGAAGTTGTAACAAGTCCTCAATAGTATCTTCAAAAGGTAATTACTCAAAAGAGTAGTTATGAATTAGGAAGACATATTTTTAAAATTAGCCTTGTTTGACTTATTTTTAAACGTCTAGCAAACATTAGTAATAAAACATACTTCCACTTATTTTACCTATTAAAAATAATTATTGTATCCTAAAGATATTTCAAGTTCCTTGCACAATAATGAAGTCTTCAAAGAAGAGACAATTAGGCATAAGCTAGGGAAACACCACAATAAAATTTTAGTTTCTTGAAGTACAATAATGTTTAGGTATATGTGAGCACACACAAACCCAAGGAAGTTTAAAACTTCATTTATGCTTATCCATACATCTTTCACTTCTCGCTGAGAACAATTTTATATGAAAAAGCGGATTCGAGATCAAGAACAGCTAATGAAAAGTAATTTTATGATTTCAATTTAGAAATAATAGTCATATCTTCCACAGAAAATTAGTAAAATGTAATAATAAGGAAGAGCATCCATTTTAATCATGTACAATCAAATTAATTCACAGCATGATTGTTATAAACATATCATGACACTTGTGACAAAAATGTTTTATCAAGGACTCACAGGCCTAGGTGGTTGAGTCAGATTCCATATTAACTTAAGATATGATTAACAGATGAGATAGTGGCCTAGACATAATTTGGTTGATGGTTTCTCTAATATTTCTGGTTTATATAACAAGCTGGGTGTGTCTGGGAACCATCAAATCACAGAACTATACTTTTACAAATAACATCTATTTGGCAAACAGCAAAAATGGAGAAGATTTATAACTGACATAAAATGACTTGCTGATTACCAACATCAATTGGGTTAAATAAACATAACGTGACATTGTTAAAACTATTGAAAATTTTCAACAGTGCTTTTATTGGCTAACTAGCAAATAATGTCATATGTGAAGCATCCAGGAAAATAAGATCACATTAATAAACATTTATAAAAAGTTTCACTGTTAATGAGTATGACAGAATGTTGGCCAATTACACTGAAGTTCATTGAAGCACAATTCAATGATTATGAGGTCCCAGCACTAACAGGATGAGACATGCCACAATCAACATCTTCATCACTAGATGGTTACAGCACTAATTAGAAGACTGACTCAAATAATAGCTGTACTGGTCATGGAAGTAGTACAGCCAGACAACCCAAAATGAAGGAAAATTTCCATACCCCTACAAAGATTTAAATTCTGAATGGCCAGACAATCATTGTCTTACCAGGCGAACAATAAACAAATTCTGAAGAAAATAATAGAGCAGAAACATTCACTCTCAAAATACCAAAAACAGTACTTGCTTAGCTTGTTGAATGAGACCTCTTTCTTTTCCAGCAATCGGGGTGCAAACGTTTTTGCTCCTGAGCCATAGCACGAGCTTCCAAGACAAATTCCTCTTTGTTAGCAGGAGGTAACTTGCGCCATGCTTCACCCAATATAACACTAATAGCCCTATACAAAAAAACCCCACAATTTTATAATGCAACATAACTTAATAAAACATACAAAATTTCATTGACAATTTAATAATTGGTAAGTACTGAGCAGATCACAATACATCGCACTGGAATCTATTCTGGTGGTTAAATACAAGAATCTGATTAAAAGAAAATATAATGTTGTAATTTATATACTTTTCAAACGGCTTATTAACGATGGAGCAACAATATTTGAATGTTCTTTCACAATACTGATCAAATTGTTTAGAATACATCATGTCCATATATAATTGACAGCTTAACTTAAACATTTCGAAAGGTGTAAATGCAATCTCCATTGGACTTTTAAAACTTGCAGTTCTAACTTTCCGTTCTTTACAGATTGGCAAATTTCCTTTCCCCATTTTTCATGTTTTTTCTTCTAATTCTAGCACTGTTAACCAAAATATCAGTTAATATTTTAATTTCTACAGTGTCAAGTTTTTTAAACAATAATTCTTCTCGGTGCAGAAATCCACAAGTATATTGGGTTAGTATATATAAAAATAATTTGCAAGATAATTCAATAGTAAAATTATCATGTAATATATGTACAACTACAAAGAGATACTGTAAGAGTAAGAGAGCACAAGGGAGAAATATAGAGAGATAGCAATGAGAGTGGGAGATAGAGGGGAAGGGGGAGTGAGAATGGGTGGGGGGAGGACAGAGTGGGAGAGAGGGGGACAGAGGGAGAGAGAGGGGTGAGTGGGGCATGGGGAGAGAGGGAAAGAGAGTGTTTAAACATCATTTAAACTATTATTAGCCAAGTCACTATGGCTGGCAATTGCTTATGCTGGAAACATGCTGATTCGTAATTAGATACCAATGATAAAAAGGTGGTGAAACATGCATATAATTATCACAAGTATGTCCAAAAATGCTGTTCGAAGAGTTGACTGTCTCAATAGTGCACATGGTACAGCAACCGAGTAGTATACATCAGGAGACTTGGGTTTAACAAATCAGCAGACAGTCAACTCCTCCTGCAGTTTGAACTCATTTCCCATTACTGTAAGCACATAAAATCACTTTGATTTTCATTTAAGGACAACAGCTACTTTTCACATACCTATTATCTTTTCCAGGATGCATCTGAATTAGCTCCAAGCGATAACGTTTGGCAAATAACATAAATGCATTCATTGGTCGTTTTGGTCTATCAGTTTCAGAAGGTTTCTTGCAAGGAGATGAAGGAGGAGACAAAATAAAGGGAGTTGGCACAGGTATTTCCTCGGGCGGAAAGCTAAATCTGTGAAAATAAAACAAATTTTAATAGTATACTTAAATTTGAAGAGATAAAATCAACAATTATTTTCAATAAATAATTACCGCTTAAAACGATCGCACACATCTGGTGACAAAGACTGAGGTGGATAACAAACATCACCTCGCTCAAGTTGTTGGCATAATACTTGATAGCGCAATGCTACTCGTTCAGGACATGCAGCACACCATCCTGTCAAGACAAAATCTGTTTATCTCATAAAAATCAAAAGATAAAAGCGTAGGTAAGCAAATGAGATTTATTGTCAGGAACACTAAGAAAATTTTAAAAAATAATCAGATTTAAATGTTCAGAAAAAGTTTGTATTACACAATTTTAGACAATTTTGTTCTCTATTTTATACCTTCTCCTTTAATGATTGGGTTAATGATTTAATTTTCTCCTTAATTTAATGATAAGCATTTATCATTATTGTTTGTGAATCATTCTATTTATCCTTAATAATTTATTTTATCAATAGTTTGAATGCAAATTTATCTTCCCAGTTAAAAATGCTTAATACAGATGAACATATCAAGTAGCTTAGTAAACATATCAAGTTTTGTTTAGCTTCTGATGCTTATTTTTGACATTATGCCGTATTTGTGACCTTTTCGGCCTTTTTCGCCTTTTCCCCCTCCTGCCTCCCCTATCAAGCTGGAAATATGCCTGCAAGCCTAGACATCAAAATCTAAAAGAGAATTAAAGACGATATCGGTGAAGATTTTTGACATTTTTCATGGATGCTGACAGACTTGATAGCTCATGAGGAATCACATCTTATGATTGAGTATGGCCTCAGTTCCCTTTTGTGGACAGAGCTGTCTGTGCACAACATACTCTTCTCAGTACCTTTTTGTTCTCTCTTCCCTTGTGGCAAATATACAAGTGCGAAGGACTAAACCTATAATTCTATTTTCACTGATACTATTTCAAGATTCAAAAGGGAGTCCACAATAGCATTTCGTAGAGTCAGCATCGTGAGTAAAATAAATTCGTAGTCGTGTTACCGAATCATCATGCAATGAAAATTGCAAAGAAAAGAGAATTTCCTTCCACGTAAGTGCTAATGTAAAAAAGAGAATAAAAATAAGAATCATTGTAACTTTTAATCTTTTTTACAATAGATACTTTTAAATGGTAATTTTGCAATGTTTCTGGTGCTTTTACACCCATACTTAAGCCAGAATAAATGTCTTTTTTTGTATGCATATTTTAGTGAAAATAAATGTATTTTTACTAAATACATATCAGCCATTCCATTGTGACGGTACATATAGGGAGGTTATTTCAAGAAAAATATTGGATACTATTAATTCTGTGTAAATGGTTTTTAATAAATTATTTGAAGCACTGTGTCTGGTGTGACCCACCTGTGACATACACCTCCCACAGAGTTGAAGTTATTGAAAAGCTCTGTAAAACTGTTAATCTTTTCAAACACAATTTATTATATAAATGATCACACATATAAGTACATTTTAAAATACTATTGCTGAAGTCAGAATAATAACCCTTAACCTTCATAAAAAATACTGCTGCGACAGGCATGACCCAATTTATGACATGTGTGACAGTTTGCACTCTGTAAAAATCTTGCATCATAACCATTTAATAACTATAATAATTAACTATTTTCATAATTAACTGTAATTAATAACTATTTTCTTCTTAATTTCTAATTTAAAAAATAAAGTACAAATCAACACATACAAATAAAATTTACAAACCCATTACAAGTTACAATAACGCACATTTGCAATAACATTTCAAAACAAAATTAAATTAATACAGAAGAATACTCAATTCTATCCAATCAAGTCCAATTTACTTTAAATAATGAACTCACCAGTCACAATTTAAAATTTGAAAACATCCCTACTGTTATAAGCAGGGGAAGGTTGAATTTCTTAAGAATTACATCAACATATGCTGCGGAAATATCTTCTTTCATTTCTGTCTTTCTTTTCGACCATTTCCTAAAAGCTCCACTTTTAATCATGTAGGAAATTGTAATTTTGCTCTTGATTTTACCCACTGTTATTAGTTTGCAATAAAACTCCTGCTTTCTAGTGACCTTAACTGTTTGTTTTTTTCCTGTACTAGCTTCCAAGGCTACCAGTACAAAATCCCCGACCACAACAGATGCCAAAATCTTTAGGATTTTCACTCGATACCTTGACTGCCTGTAGAGGGGACTTAGCAGTTTTACCTACTAAAAGATGGTGTCATGAATAACTTTGAAAGTGATGTCGGGAACTGACATAAGGGATGGTGACTACTTTTTGCCACTTAGTTTCTAACATGGTAGAATAGATTTTAATTTCTGTTGCAGAAATGAAAAGTGTAGCAATATCTGATACCTTGGATTGGCAGTGATTGAAGAAATCTTCTGCGGTATTTACACCTGACTAACAGTAAAACATTATGATTTATTCTAGTGCCAATGCCATCAACAGCACCTTTACCATGTGATGTGACAAAGAAGTTCCACTTAACTCTTATCCCAAAATCAGTCTCTATATAAAACAGGTTCAGCAGAGTAAATTTATTTTTGAATCGACTCTGACTTCAAAACCTCACTAAAAAACAAAATTGTTTCAGAAAAGGATATTCTTTTCTTATCATTTCAAAAATATTCATGAATATCCAAACTGCTGCTTTGACGTGGGTCAGCTCATGGCTAACTATGGCAATTGACCGGGTTGCACCTTTCAACCAGATACAAGAGGTAATTAGCGTAACTTGACTGTGGTTGTAAAATACCTGAATTTCATCTTGGTAGGCTGTGTAATTTGTATAATTTTCTGAGAAATCCACTTGAACAATACACTTATGTTCTTCAAGGATACTATTTTTATTTTCGTAGATGCCTGTGCATGTTTGACAAAATAGTGGATCTTGTAATAGCCCAGTTGGCTCTCCAATTCACCCAAAGTATTTCCAAGTGTACTGTAACAATCAACAATACTTGGAGAACTTCCAGCAACTTCCTTAGATTGTTTCCAGATCACAAATGTCTCCATACTTTCTTCGATTGACACAGCAGACTCCACATGTTGAAAACAGTAATTGCACTCACCTGACATGCAAATTTCAAAATTGATGTTAGAACACATCTTGTTGATACATCAACACTCTTCCACATGATGGGAAATCTTGAACAACTTTTTTTATGGTGTCCATCAGAAAATCAACATTGGTTACCAACAACTTACACATGCATACATTTATGTGGTGTTTGTGCCATTTGTAGAACATAATCTGGTTGTTAACTCATAAAATTTTGATATTTTCAACTTGAATATGTGCATTCTCAGTTTTAAAAATCTCAAAAGCCTTTCCAATTGCCATGGTCATATGCCACTTTTGGAACAACTCTCTCACACCAGATATTTTGTTTTTCACTAATAGAACATCTTTTTTGACAGGGGCTTGTCTGCTCACATAATCTCTACAATAAAACTGTTTTGTTTCTATCACAGCAGGAGTAATTTGCTTGTGGTTAGGCTTTCTTTCACAGACAAGTTTTTTAGTGCTAGAGACAGTTTCTATTACAAGTTTTATTACCACAGCTGTTCTCTTACCAGGGCTTTGTGGTAGAAGCTTCCAACATTAAGAAACTGTTTGGTCTCTTGGAAAAGCTATTTTATATGTGCCCCATGAAGAATTTAGAGTTTCCTCATTAGCAAGTGGCTGAGACATTTGTTTCTCCTTCATTCTAGAATGCTGTTTTCTCTCTGTATCTTTTCTTTTTCTTTAAAGCTTTGTTTTGCTCTTAGTTACTTTTTCTGCAATTCTTACCCTTTTCATCTAGTCACTCTCTCTTTCCTTAGCCAAAAGCTGCTGCCATTTTTCTTCTTCCTGCTTTTGCTTTTGATGAGAGATCCTCTTTCTTTTGGCTACTGTTTTAGGCATGATTTCCCAGAACAAAAGAATATTCACATTAAGTACATAAAATAATTACACAGGGTATAGAAGCATTTCATTCTAATTACTTTCCATGGTTGTAACAAATCATTAATTAAAAGAGGTTATTTGTAAGCCAAAAATATGATTTAAATGAATCAACCCTGTTACTATCTAATCAGAACCATTATAGTCACACCCGCCACAACGAAAAAAAGGGAGAATTGGAATTCATAAAAGCTACTTCAATGAATGGAAGAGAAGCGTGATAACCTTATTCACAACTGGTTAGAACGTTTTTCACGTACACGTACTTTCATTAAAGTAACTTTTGCAGCATTTTTGTGGCGGGTATGACAAAACATATGTACAATTTAAAACCCCACTTTATAAATTTAACTTACCTAGTATCACTTATTCACAGTGCCAAAACACTTGCAGGACTTCAATTAATTATAAACTAAAAAACTGGTTGCATCATAGGTGTACCAACATTTAATACATCAATTTTCTCAAAGTGCCATTCGTAAAATTTCCAAATGTTACCGCAACTTAACTTTCAAAAATTGCTTATATTTATTCGTTGTAGTAGAAAATTAACATTAGAAATCAAAAATTGAACTTTTTTCTTGAAATATCATGCATTAAAATTATAATTAGTAAACGAATGGAAAATCAGTTCATGTCCACTTTCACATGGAATGGCTGTTATACATTTACATACATACACATTTATGCCCGCCTATTTTATGTAAAATAAACGCCTGAACTTCTGGGCTCTAGTAGTGTACAATTACATAAGTTATTAATTATTGCATGTTTCATCAAATTTGTGTAAAGAACAGACAATCCCAATCTTCCCCCAAGATGTAAATTCTATATTAAGAAAATATTTACCACAGATACTCACTAGCTGTTAATTATTTACATTTCCACATAATTGCTTTCAATTAAGATTATGCCATATTGCCAGAACATTCAAGAGAAGAGAAATTAATCACACTTTAATGCCAACGATAATTGTTGCTCCAGGGTCCACTTTTATAACACAATTTTAAAAAACTTAACTACATATCATTCCTTTAACACTTAAGTCTTTCTGATGATTTCTCAACTTAAAATGCAGATCACCACTGGTCACAGTCTTTTCTTTATGGAAGAACCTCAGAGCAAATATCCTTTATAGACATCAATTATTTCATTCATTACAATTACAAAAGACCATTGAATACATTTCTTTAAAACTCTTAATTTTATCAAATTAAATCAATAAAAATGGATGTTTGTTTGCATTTTATGTGTTGCCATACTGTTCATCCGATTGCAATCAAACTTATTGCTTGCACTTGCACAGAGAATACATACATAGTACAATGGGAATGTGCGTATGTATGTTGCACATAGACGTGCGTTGATGATTTTATGCATTTATGCTGACTCAAGCACCCGGGAACAGAAGCCCTACGTAACCCGCCACACCTTCAAGTATTAAGTGCATCTTTGCTGCAAATTCTGCCTTTCATTTCATCTATTAAAATTTTTACAGAAGTAGTGTAAAACGTGATTAACAATCACATGACCAGTAGCTTGTGAAGTGTAATACATTGCAATAGTGAAGCATTGCCAGGTCCACTAGTTACAATAGACTCTTCCTCAAGACTGCCAATGCTGGGGGAAGAGACATCCAGCCTGAGGGGGCCCTGCTTTAATATAAAAATGGCAGATCCAGACAAGCATAGCTCAAAAATAAACCACCTGTCCAAGGTGCAACTGTACCAAGGGACTGTATCTGAACGATGTGACAGAGGGTAAGATGTTGCAAATGTGTGTCCTTCAGAAAATGGCAAACTGTGATTGACATACTGCCTTCCTCTGAAAAGTAGGGCCCTCTGATGGTGACTGAACTATCCCTAACCTATAACCCCTGATAATAAAATGGAAACCAAACAATCAACAAAATGAGGAGGATGACTATATAGATTACAAGAACATGTATATATTACTGCTCATATATGAATCTGACTAATTTGCAAATTAGATATTCAATATTCCATTATCCAAAAATTAGGTCATAAGTTGGAACAGCTTCGAAGCATATTTCAGACCTAAGCTGGATAAAGTTCACGTTAACCAACACAAGGTGGGTATAGAAGGTGAAGTATGTTAGGTAATGACGAATAGCAAATTATATGTGATAAACAGGAATCAGATTGTTAGTGGTAAGTTACAAGGGACAAGGTATGCGTGTCACCTACACCAAATTACTCCCGGGGACAATTCCATGGATAAGATACAGATTATCAGGGAGTCCCCTTCAGTATACAACAGAATAAGGGTTTCGTGACTGAAGACCAATAGTAAATTAAAATATGAAAACAAATCAAACGTAAATCTGATCAATGTATCCTTGGGGGAAAAAAAAAAAAAGTTGAAATAAATTCAATAGATGAAATACAAAAGGTCCCGTCAAAAAACCCTAAGATTTTCATGGGATATCTGGAGAGGTCATTTGGGAAAATTCTTTTCTATAAAAAACAAAAACAATACATACCCAAATACTCCCTTTACAGTACAAAGTTACAGTACAAAAATTATGACAGACATGGTTGAGACAAAAAGGCCTTCATTTTCAAACAGCAATAAACCCCATACAAAAAGGAAAAGTATATTCAAGTACCTTTGTCCTTTACAAAAAATGTATGCACTGGATGACACTGTGCAGTAATGTACACTCCTGTTCCCAAACAACTGAAATGTATGCACACTGGTAAATCAGATTGTTCTTCTTCCACTTGCTCAACTTGAAGGGCTCCAATCCAATCAGAAGGACCAAGTTCTTCAACAATACGGAACATTCCTGTTGTACTATTTCCACCACAAGGCATGTCCCATTTCACTAATGTTCCTACACAGAGGAAATTAATATAAATAAGCGTTAGGAAAATAAGAAGAGAAGAGGAATAATAAATACAAAATTATTACGAACTTTCATGACGATTCCAGATATCAAGAACAGACAAATTTCTCATCAGTAATTGAGGCCATGCAAAGCCAAAGGAGCTACGAACGAAAATTTTCGAAATGAAGGTTTTCACATTTAAATACTATTTTACTACTACTAATCGGTAATTTACAACTTACTACTATTAATCAGTGTTGATACACAATTAAAAGAGTGATGTTCCAAACACCTTCCAAGGAATTGTAACAAGAACACTAACTTCCACAGTTTTTATTGATTTCCCGAAAAAACAATTTTTGGCACTTAACTCCCATGGCTTTGCAAGTCCTCAATTAATATCAGATCAACTAAACATGGCTCTTCCAAGTTTTAAATTGCAGGGTGCACAATAATTGCATTTGTGTCTAAATACACTTTTTTTCAAATGCCATTTGAGAATAGAATTGAAACTTTATTTTATAAGACTTACTTTGCCCTATGACTTATTTCATTTCTATTATTAAATTATTAAGAAATTATGTTTTTACCTGGCTGAAAGCAGTGCCACACTGGAGTAGGCCAAGGGTGCATATTTATTACACCATTCAATTCCTCACGGCTACTACCCACTGGACTCAAAAGGACAGAAGAAATGGCGGGATTATTTACTTGTCCCAGAGTTGGGCTCCATGAAGGACTGCACATTGATGAATTTTGTAATTGTATCAATGTAGAGGACTCAGACGACGGATATGCAGTTACATCTTCCTCAGTAACTGAAATGGCAGGATTTGTAGAATCTTGAATACTATTGCAGGGAACGTTTTGTATAACATTTGGAGGAGACTGACTGGAGATACTTGATCGATCATCCACTGGTGCTACTTTCTGGATGTGTGAAGTCTCAAAAGTATTTATGACAGCAGAACTTTTTGCCGTTATAAATGGTTGTGTTCTAATGTCACAGGCTCCAGACAGGCTATGAGCTCTAAAAGTAAAAAATAACTTCAATTACATTACACCAATTATGCACACTTGGTTCATTAAAGATAATTTCTTATTAGCATTTATGCAAATCAGGCAACAGAACAAGGAAATAAGTTTAATACACCTTTCAAATGGTCATAGTAATTAAGTAAAATTGTTAAAAATTGGTCAACAAGGTTCAAATTCCATTGGAGGATTGGAGATTTTTTTAATCTCACAATCATCTCAAGTACCCGTTTATGAGCATTTTAACATGCATGACATTACCACACATTTTCAGTGATTGAGTTTTGATATAGTGTCACTTCTTTGATCAATTGCACACATGTCAAATTATTAAAAACAAACATTTTGTTAAAAGGGGAAAATAGGAAACACACAATAAAATATATACACAAGTGGTGCTACAACAGAATATGCTTTCTTGCATTATTTATAAGTTACAAATAATGTTATAATACTATTTGAACACATGAAGTGTTTAGATCACAAAGATTTGCAAAGATTTGCAGATTAAAAACAAAGTTAAATTTAAATGAGAATGTATTGGCTGCATAAAACACACTGGCAGCACAGGACTTAAAAACTGAATGTATAAAAGTCAAAGTCATATATAGAAATTAGAATTTTCTCAAATTTTGAGGTGAACGAAAATGAGACCCGCAATTCTTTAAAGCAGCTATTCGTCAATCCATGAAGCAAAAGGAAAAAAGGAAGGAAAAAAATGAAAGAAAAAAAATAGAAACGGTTTTTGAGAAAAATGTTTTTATAAATAAATTGAATTAATTACAAGCCGAAATTACGAGATAACTACTGTTTTTTTTCGCAACAGACTTTGTCTAAGGCAATAAACTGTATCCTCAATTTTGTAGTTTTGAAATGTTGATTTTTTAAATTATTTTTTAAAAATACTGAAAGTTCCCCGAACACGTACGTAGTAAAAATAGAGAGTAAACAATCTGAATCTTGAATATTGCAGTTGTAGGAAGACGCCGAAAACTTTCAACTTTTGCAATTTTCGAAAATAAGACCTGTACCTTGTTTAGCGTGCCTTCTCCTAAGATAGATCAAAGAATTTGGAGCCATTTTTGAGAAAACTTTTAAAACGTTGAGGTTTCAGATAAAGTACCCCCAAAAAATCAAAATATTAGTTTCAAACTTGCAGGGCCTCGAGTTTCGCCAGATCGATCACGAAAACTAATTTTGGCCACAATCGTCAGATGGGTGCTAGCGTTGACATGGCATGAATCAATTTTTGAAATTAAGGACCCACAAAACTTGAATTCTGACTACGCAACGTGTTGAAGTAATTGACTGCTTATACGAACAAGAATTATCCACTTGTTCCATAATATGAGCTTTTCTATTAAAATCGCCCATATTTCCGTAGTATTTCTTTTCTTTTCTTCTTAAGTATGGCGAGAAAAGTAAAAGCAAACTCGTTCTTGCGTCTCAAACCAAATGGTGAAGTCCGCGTTTCCGCACGAAGATTTGAGAGAACGGACTTGTCGAAATCCAGCACCTCCCGTCCAGACGATGTCTATACTCCGCTTAAAGGATAGTGGCACTTCAAGGCCAAACGCATGAAGGGGGGGGGGGTCATTTCATCCAATAGGGAGCTCCAAAGACAAAACTTTTAAGTCGTAACGAAACTACCGATTGGATGATAGGGTCCATTTTCCATCCAGCTCGTCACCTTGAAGTGCCACTATGTTTAAACCGGAGTATACGTCGGCTACCACGAAACTGCGCAGAGTAGGACGTGTTCCACGAAAATGTCCATTTCTCGTGAGTCGCAGATGGGTTCACCTCGCAGGAGGAAACCACGTGAAGAGTAGCAATGGCCGTTACGAAGAAGAGTTAACATTATTTTCTTACACCTAACAAGGGATGGGGCAATATCAGGGATTTGCAGGATCTTTTACGCACTTGAATTAAAAGTGGCATTGTGCCGCACTGGCAGCCTCGCAATGTGTTTGGAGCTTTTTACACCGAGAGAAATGTAATAGAATGATACTAAACATGTTTTGTAAGCGATCATGTAATAACAGTATATTCTTCAATGAGCGCAGAATAATAGCCATTATGCGCGAGTAGAATACTATACATTCTCTACGACCTTGAAATATTCAGAATAGATTTTGAACATATTAGGACATTGGTCCCACTTGTCCCTCTATTCCGTTTACCCCTTGGCTCATTTTGGCTAGGTACCGTTCTATCCTAGGCTCTAGTACCGTTTTATACCGACGTCCATCTTGTCCCGCTTTCTCCCCTTGTCCTAGTTTGGACTCTTGTCCCAGTTTTGATACCTTGTTGCGTTCGGTCGCCTTGTCAAATTTTGTTCCACTGTCACATTTTGTCCCCTTGTCACATGTTTCTAATTGTCTAATATGTCCCATTTCCCCATTTTTGCCCCCCCCCCTTTCTAATTTTGTCCCCTTGTTATCTTTGTCCTCCTTTCCCCGCTTGTCCTCTTTGTCATTTCGTTTCTTCAGGGCACTGCGATTGTTATTTAAAAACCGTATTGCAAATGGCGAAGAATGCAAATCTGCTAGTGGATTCCGAAAATACTAGGAATATGATTGGTCGACAGGCCGTGGATTCCGAACTGGAATCCACGGGGTGTGTAATCGATGTCATTCGTGGATTAAATGTACAGCAGGAACACGTATATTATTAAATGATCGTAGAGAAATACAATTATTCCTGTGGTATGCTTCACTAAACATGATTTAGCTTCGTTTAGGCCGCTTGCCCACGCCGCGGCAGAAGCGCGCGAACGCCAGTCATCAGGACCCTCCAGCGACGACGGACAAAGGGACCGCAGCAGGTAACTGCTTCGGTCCCTTTGTCCGTCGTCGGCGAAGAGCCCTGATGATTGACGTTCGCGCGCTTCTGCCGCGGCGTGGGCAAGCGGCCTTAGGGCCGGTTTCACCAAACAAAGAGTAAGAGTTTACTCTGGAGTAAATCATGTTTACTCGAGAGTAACTTCTTGGAGCGTTTCACCAACACTTTACTCGAGTGTAAATCGCTTACACGAGAGTAAATTCGAGAGTAACTTTACACCGCGAAAATCCGTCGGGTAAAGTACGGAGTAAATTCAGTTTTCAACGTGCATGTACCTCCGAAGTGTTGTTACGGTTCGACGATTACGACGAATGATAGTATTTGTAGACGATTCCAGCAATGATTCGGAATATTATTCTCTAGTGCGAAGACAAAGCGTGCGAGAGAGAATGGATTGGTTTTAATTATGACGATCGAGATTTTGTCATGGGGTTATGTTTGACCAAATCAGCTGTTTAACTTCATCAGATACATTGTAAACTGAAGAGAAATTCTAAAGTTATTTTTCTCCCCATGTGGATACGAAATAAAGGTAGTACGTACCGAATACGACAACAAAAGGAAAAATACTAACTACAGGAACTACAAGTACTAAGAAATATTCATTTTTTTTATTCAGTAAAAACTGTATGTGACGTATGGGGGAGATCATTTGCCCACGTTTTCTTGAGTTCCAGAATCCCTTTCCAACATTTTAACTACAAATAGTTGAAAGGTGAATAAAAGTTAAAAAAAAAATAAAACAAATAAAAATAAAATTTAGAAAAATACGAGATCAGCAACATTTGAGAAACTAAACATTTTCGTTCCCTAGTTATAGAAAATTCATTTGCACCGCCATCAGTAAACGAACTGCTAATTTGATTTTTCTGCATTGCTAACAAAATAGTAACTCGTCTCCAGAGAAGAAGAATGAATATTTATTAAGAAATAAAGATACAGAAACTAGGAAATAAACTATGCTAACTCAAACCACCATAACACCATACCAGATTATAACGCCAAGAACTCCGAAACTGAAATGAAATATAGAATATAAGGAATTAATCAAAGGTTCGCGTTGGTCCGCATTGGTTCCCAGCGTCATTCTCGCTCACAGCCTCTTGAATCACTCTCAAATATTGTTTGTTCAGCTGATTTGCGGAGTAAATAGGAGAGTATGTACTCTAGAGTAAAATAACCCTCTAGAAGCATGGTGAAACGCTCATATTCTACTCGAGAGTTAATATCTTGGAGTAAATGGTTACTCTCGGGTAACTACTCTCAACTTTACTCGGCTGTTGGTGAAACCGGCCCTTAGTAAATCAGACAATTCTTAAGTGAATGAACAAAGAGATGTGCCAAAGGTACTATACTTGTTTCATAGAAAAATTATTCGGTGAGATCTACATTTCATGTCGTCACTTTACTGAACACTGTTTAATAAGCGCGCGTTCTGAACTATCTGACGAATTCGAACGGTTATAGAGCCCCTGTGAAGTGTGAAAATTCAACGCTCTATATAGAATTATGCACTATATAAAGGGCGTATTTAGTATTTTATAGATTTTAAATAATTAGTATGTTATATTTCAAACAAATTGGCTAGGGCCTGTCTGGTAATCGAGGTTAAGGAAGTACGAATGCACGGAGCCGTAGGATGGGTGACCTATCCAGAACTCCTGTTGCTACCTGCCTGAAGGAATAGAAGGAAAGCATTCCTTTTCACGTTTCGTTTAGTTATTTCCACTGCAATGTGTTTAGTAAATATTACTCAGTGTATTAGTGAACGCAAAGATCCGTTTAGTTATCTCCACAAGATGCCTTTCGTCATGGGTACGACCTGTTTAGCGAACATTACTATACGTGTACTATAGTGTTTAACTAAACAGCAGTTTCGTGAATGTGACTAAGCACTTTGTTCTTCCAACATGTACTACACCGCTTAGTCGAATCTTCTACATGATTAATTGTATGACATTTCCTTCCGTGTAGAAATGTCTTTAGATCTACTGAGGGGACAGGCGAAAATGTCAATATACTCCTTCCGAATCACCGATTTCTCAGCCTCGCCAACTCATTACTTGATTGCCTCATACCCCAGGTCCCAAAACAGGACCAAGTCGTAGTAGCGAGACAATTAATGAGGTTTTGTGTTTGCTGGCATCAAAT